AAGCCTGTCATGTACAATGTTGTAATCCTATAATACTTACTATAAGCCTGTCATGTACAATGTTGTAATCCTATAATACTTACTATAAGCCTGTCATGTACAATGTTGTAATCCTATAATACTTCCTACGGTCTGTACTGTATAAGCTTACATCTTTGAAGATTTATATGAATCAAGTAAATGCCACATTGGTTAAATTGGTCAGATAAGTCTTCTCATAAGAAGGTAAAACTGAAATCCACGTACATTTTTCACTCAACCAGTACTACAAATTCTCACACTGTTGATGTTTTATGGCAACTAAATCACCATATAAATGAAAGTGCTAAGTAGTACAAATTACTTGTAACATTCATTCAAATGTTATTTAGTTTAGTTCAATTTCCCTAAACTGACGTTTTTACACACAGAGAGATAACTTACTTTAGCCTCATTGCTGACAGCAGGCTTAGCTGGAAAGTCCACTTCTGTGGCTTTAAGAATTGTACTTTCTTCTAAGATGGTAGCCTGAGACTGATTATGACCAAAGGGCTAACGGGGAAAAACAAAACAAACAGTGAAACTTTGAAACGCATACGTCAGTTTTCTAAGAAAAAACATGAACAAATTATTTAGAAAAAAGCAAGATTAACTGAAACTTATGTTTTCTAAAACATCCAACTAAATATGAATCTTACTTTTCTCCCGTACAGACACTGGTAAAAAATCACTCCTACACTCCATACATCAACTTTTGAGGAGATTTTAGGTGGATTCTTTCCGACTACAAAACACTCGGGAGGTAGGTACCTATAACAGAGAACAGTAAACAGCTCTAAAGGTTGGCAAGTCATAGTAAAAACTACATAGTGTAACAAGTTTTACTGTTATTTACGTGTAACTCAATGTAATACTTTCATCATATGAACAACATACACATCAAACTGGAAAAAAGTAAAAGAATGAGGCAGTAATTACTGCTACACATATTGCTCCCAACAGTATAAAGAGAAGTAAAAGTGCCTAATAAAAGCTTTTTTTAAAAGAAAATTCTTAGGAAAATTAAAATGGTTTTAGAAAGTTAAATCTTTTGACTCTTCGATTATTATTGACGGTATTTGGTTGAAATCCCTAAATGATGTAAAATGTTTCTGCCCTATTACATCTCTGTTTGTAAAATAAATCTTAACATTTTAATACAATTTAACATGTAAATTATACTTGAAGTTCAAGTGTTTCCATGACACACATTAGAAAACAAACATCAGTTAAAGCAAGATAATAATTAAATATTTCTTAATTTTCTGGGTGAAAATTCCACAAACTAACCAGTAAGTCCCAGCTCCCTGAGATGTCAGGTCCATTCCATACTCAGGGCTATAGTTTTCATCATCCATGATCTTACTCAATCCAAAGTCAGTAATTTTTATTTCATTACTGCCGCTTCCGCTTCCAAGAAGAATGTTACCTGTGGGTAAAAAAAATTAGTAAAATCATAAACATACCACTTATGTATAATCTCACTTAACAATGCTTGGAGACGGCTTGAATGGGTAATGAAGAAAAACTTTAATGTATAAGTTTAACATAACAGCAAATGTACAACGTTTCGACGATGACGAAACCTTGTACATTTGCTGTTATGTTTAACTTATATTAAAGTTTTTTCTTCATAACCCAATCGAGCCGTCTACAAGCGTTATAAGTCTCAAAGTGGGTTCCTCATCATCGAAATCTCACTTAACGTTCATCTTTACTCGAGTGATTTATTCTGCAAGCTTATTACCACTGATGATCAAATATGTGTTGGAAATCGGGAGAAAACATTTGTTTGCCAATGTTCAGAAATTTGTTTCAGCACTGGTAAATTTTTCATTCACATCCACTTATTCAGTAGTATATATTTAGTGCATCATCATCATCATCATCATTGTTAATCCTTTAACTCCAGGAAAAGAAAAGATTTCTGGTAGAATGTCTATAGTCTGATGGTTTAAAATAAGTATACCTTAGGTCAAGTTTTGGAAGTATTACCTAAAACATCACAAACACTAAGTCATTTTTTAAGTAAGCCACAGCTCTTAAACTTTTTACCAAGAGCAACCCACTATACAGATACAAGTTTTACAGGTCTTTGAAACTAATTCATTATTTCGTTCCTTCTCAAAGTTAACCATCATTAATCCTTAATTTTACAAGTTAAGTTTTAACTGAAGTCGTTTCCAAAGAGCACAAAGACCATCTATTACAAAAATTGCTTTGCTTATCACTCACAATTAGCTATCACGATAGTTAACCCGTATGACTAGGGCACAAAGACCATTTATGTAAGTTTGTTTCTAGTATCTCTCATCTTCTACATGTTTTAATGACTAACATTTTCTACATCAGCACATCTATAGCGATGAATGCTATGTAGAAATAAACAAGCTATTTCAGAATTAGAAAAAAAAACACACACCAGGTTTGAGATCGTAATGAATAATTGGTGGTTTGATCTCATTCAAGTACTTGAGGGCATGCACCACCTGCATGATGATGCATCGAGCCTCCTTCTCTGGCATGCTCTTGTGCTGCTTCAGGTAGAAGTCTAGGTCGTGACCATCGCAGTATTCCAAAACTGTGCAGAAGCTAAAAAAAATCAAAATGTCAACGTATCTATAAATTTCAAGATAGTTTCAACTTATTGATATCATAATAACTTTATTTTTTCATGCAATTCACATGTTATTACAGTGATTAATACTATTGGACAATTTAAATTAATTTTAGCATACTTGTTTTGTTTGAAGATATCCAATTCAGATCATAGAAAAATATTTTAAATAAAACCCTCCTTGAAATTAAACTTTATTTTCGAACAACGTCTAAAATCAAATAACTTTGATCTGGTAGCGTATTGACAAAGTTCTAATGATCACATTAGGATCTATCAAATTCTTAAATAATCAAAAGCTTAAAAGATTTTACACACTGTGTAACGTGTGTTACAAAATCTCCTTTTGTTTCACAAAAAAATAATCAGTTTGCTAGAAACAATTCTCAAGTTAATCGAAGTTGTACTCTCTGTTTAACATACGAATACTCTATTGATCTATACATTTTGCAACTTTTAATAAATGCAAAGACACATAAAGAAGAATTATGAATTAATATTTCTAGAAAAACAAAATGTGGAACAGTAGCTAAATCTTTTCTTTGTGGAGGAATATATTTCAATTCCTAGTGAATGTATAAATGGAATACAAATGTATTTACTCCTACTCACTCTTCCTCAGAAAGCTAACGAAACAGTTAAGGAAATATTCCTCACTTGCTTGACTGCAGTTAGAGTTTACTTATTTTGTTTGTAACCAGTCCGGAATTCAAAATTGAGTTATTCCGAAGTCTTTATGTGAAGAACCCATGTTGATGGCACTTTATCTTTCCACATGAAATAATCTTTGCTATTTCAGTCAACTGAACATAATACTTGGCAAAATAAACTATGTAAAACTTACATGGAAAAAGCAGGAGGGAAAGGAAAATTCATTGATAAGGATTTGTTTAAAACTTTTCCATAAAGCTATCTGTGCCTAGCCATCCCTGATTTTGAGTTGATAGAGTGTCTTTCTTCTTTCTAGTTAACAACATCCATTACCAAGTCTTGCATATTTGTATTCAAATAGAGGGATTTAACTGTTACTCTTACAGGGCATCCACAGCTCCACAATGTGGAGCTTGTTTTTTGAAACAACAGGATGCAAATCACGAATCCTCAGATTCACAGTCTGGGCATCCTAACCACTAAGCCACTCCCGGTCCCTGATTATGATTTAACTCACAGTGTAATCTTCTACAAAACGCCATTCACTCACTGTTTCTCAAGGCTCTCTCGCTTTTTACGTTAGTACCTTTAATATCACACTTCTCAAAGAATACAAACCAAACTGCAGCAGAAAATGTATGTGTTTTCACATTATTTAGGATCATATTGAATGAATGGCAAAATACTCACCTCGTGGAAGGCCTGTATTTACCAGCTACGTTAAAGACATTAACAAGTTAAAACACAATGTACTTCTAAAACACTGCAGCCAAAATAAAGTAGTAAAAATAGCAGTGTTTAAATCTAGGTGAATGGCAAGAACAATCGATACGAACATATACTCAAGTTACACTTAAGCTCAATCCGTTCCAGTATTTCACATATTCAGTGCCTGTATTTACCAGCTAAGTTAAACACATTAACAAGTAAAACCAGAATGTACTTCTAAAACATTGCAGCCAAAATAACAGTGTTTAAATCTAGGTGAATGGCATGAACAATCGATACGAACAAATACTCAAGTTACACTTAAGTTCAATCCGTTCCAATATTTCACATATTCAGTCGGCCACTTTATACTAATCATATCCCTTAAAAAAAAAGAAACAATGCATAAATTCACAATGACGCTTAGCAGTAGAATTACCACCTACTCAGAAAAACAACAGGCCTAACATACACGCACTTAAAGTACAAACGAGAAATTTTAGAGCACTACAATTTTACAATAAGGTTCAAATTATGCAACATGATTTATTTTTATAAATTCAGACATCTTTACAACAGTCGCATGCTTTACTTACGAGTTGGCGTCTATTTCAAACACATCATACAGTTTCACAACTCGAGGATGGTCGAGGGCTTTGTGGATGTTGTACTCTCTCAGAGCATGTCTAGGAGAACACGTACACAAAGCTTCAATATTGCATTATAGTTAAATCATAATAGCTGAAAATTAATTACTATCTATCATTGTTTTTAAACATGTTTTGTCAAAGGTAGGGTATATGTAATTTACCCAAATCAACAACAGATATGTACCATTAATAATAAAATCCATCATCACATATATGGAGTTTCAAGTCCATTTTACCTCACCATATAGTAACCTAGATGAACTTAGGTATGTCACAGATTCTCTTTTAAATTTCACCTTAGTAAAAAAAGAAATACATTTTTAATATATACATATATATACAAACTTCATGATTGTAATACATACATACATACACATCTTTTTTCTACTTTATCTTTATTAAAATGTTTTTATTGAAATCATGTACTTTACACGGTTGGCCTTCTTG